AGGAAATTTCGTTTTTCAACACCTGCTTGGAGAAGCGTTATTCTCAAAATTGGCCCAAAAGTTTAAGCCTCCTTCCAATTTTGGCCTTTCTGAATGATAATTGACCTCACCATCTCAGCATTATCTAGCGCGATGCACATTTGCTCCTCATTCGTTGGACTACCTCGACAAGTGCCCTTCACATAATAATGGCAAACGTTATGACTCTTACCAAATCCGGGATCGATGTTGAAGATGTCACTCGTTTTACTAGTACAACTGCAAAATAAAGACAGTTAGACTCTTGACGATGTCGCGACGTTCTTTTCGATTTATTAACCTTTATATGTATATGTATATACATATATGTATGTATGTGATATTTATTTGTCCCTATTCAATTTTGACAGCTATCACGGCTTTCACAGAATAAATAATAAAATAATAAATATGTATAAAATAAAATATAAATATTAAAACTGAAAATGTAGCTTGGTCCAAATTATTTGGGCGCGTGATTACAGACACACTTACCGAATAAAATTCATTCGTGTACTCACGAGTACTCGTACCAGCTTGATAACTGAAGCCTGAACAATATCTTCCACAACAATGACTAAAATTTTGTTTCGTCGTTTTGTACGGCAATTTTGCTGAGCATGGTAGAAAAGTTTGTAATGCAATTTTGTGCAATATTTGCACTGTGCTTTAGTTAGGCCCCTCGAAAAGAGTGAGCGTTGAGCCTACACTGATAAAAACGTCAATATGCCGGGTACTAGTTGATCCCACTGAGCTGTTGAGTGTGAAGCGTATCTTTTTTTTTTGTCAGTGTATAGGCTTTGTGAGCTACCAAATTGAGTTAAGAAGTTGCAAACTGTCTCAACTGACGACCACATATGAGTCTAATTCAATTTGAGGTAAGCGGACAGGCACTTTCGACTCCTCCACGCCCCGCCCCGCATGTTAACTACAATAACAATTAGCATTAACATTGATAGGGTCTGGGTCTGGCCTCTCCCGGCCTGCGGTCGGCTGCTGTCGAGAGGGTAGTGGCCCTTTCCATATTGTGGTTTGTTTGCCAGGTTATCCGGATAAGATTTGCGCTTCCCGCGTGGTCCCGCGTGGCGCGTGGCGCGTGTCTCATCAAATAAGAGTAAACTTAATTACTCCTAGGATCTGTATGATGCAGCAGCTGCTTGTTAATGCGGTTTTCCTGCTTCTATCCTGCCTTCCTGCCATCCGCCATTCCGGGCTTTGAGGAATCTTATGTTTATTAGCAGCTCTTTCATACATACATATGTACATACATACTCAAGTATGTTCATACAGGCGTCTTGGTAAATGTTTTACTGTAATTAGAGCCCCAGGCCTCCAAGCCCACAGCTCCACTCATTGTTGTAGCTCGACCAAGTGTTACCTGCTTTGTGGCTTAGCGGGAATTAAAACAAAATTGTCAAGTGTGCCGTTAAGCGGAACACAATTAATAGAGAGGGACTCCAAAAAAGATATTTAGGCACAAATAAAAGTATAGTATGAAATAGTATATGTAAATGGCCGATTTACATAGAAAAATAAATGTGTAATTGAAAATTATTTCTTAATTGGTACCAGTACACCGACCTTGACTAAGATAATAAATAGAATACTAAGATTTAATTTAACTAACTAATGCTTAACTAAGTCAAACTTATGGATGTATGTTTTCACTTCAATTGCCTTCCATGACGATATAAAGAAAAGGAAATTATTGAAATTAAAGTCTGATTAATGCAGTCGTACAAAACCCCCGGTCTGCAAGTGGCATAAGTACGAGTAGTTCCTTATGAAATATAAACAATGACTGCATCGGCTAACTTACGAGCCAAGGCACAGCCCAAGCCCACAAGCCCAAGCTGTTTCTGCTCCTCGTATTCAGGTGGATGCTGACTTGATATTTAATTAATCAAATGATGCAGGCTGTCGGATACAGTTAGAGAACCCGGCCCGAGTGCAGCGGAGCCAAACCGAGCACCATAATCAGCCGTAACTGCCCTGAATGGAAACAACGTCTCGGCTTGTTATACAAATAGTTGGTTGCTAGTCAATTATTGGGACTGGCCTGGGATATCCAACTAAATATTTTATTATGAGCCACCGTTTGTCTTGATTATTCTCCAGTCGGCCGCGCGAAAGGGACGGTGGACGGGTGCATAACTAATTGAAAACTTGCAAAACTTTTGCTCATTAATAATAAGCCACACCAGAAACCCAGAGACCCAAAGAGCTTGGCGACTATTTGCTTAAGAGCTGGAATCGTAGTCTCGGAGTCGAAGTCCCAGTCGGAGTGGAGTGGTGGGGCCGTTGCTATCCTTTTTGACTGCGTTATCTTTTCATCCGTCAGTTTGATTTGTTGTAAATGATTTAATTACTTATTGCAAAGCGCTCCAAAAGCTATTATTAAGTTGGCTGCCCGCCAGGCCGCACTAAACACGCGTATTAGATTAATGTTGTGATTACACAGCCATACCCGACCGGAACCGTCTGCAGCAGCTGCTTCTCCCTGTACAATATTTCGAAGCATTAACGAGTCGCAATCACTTTTTGCATACTTTTCCGCTCTTCTTCTGAGGACGAGTCCGCTTTTGCAAGGACGCTTCTGATATTGAATTATTTATATTTCGTTGCAACTGGCAACCAGGGACCCTTAAGTAACCTGAAAGCTTAAGACGCTGAAGTCGAGATGATAATATATTTCTTGTCGAAAGTTGGAATCGATGGAGAAAAAAAATAACTGTGTACTATTAATATTTTTGTTGCCTACCAATTAGTAGGTTAGTTCTGTTTAACATATAGATAAAGAGTAGCTGTTCATAATTCTATATTTCATACAAATAAGTGAACTTTAAAAGGAATCCTTGTGTCCAGAGTATTTTTCTATGTCTAATCGCTTGTACTAGCCAATCAATAAGTTCGTCAGAGCAAACTATCTTATATATTACTATGTGACCCGGCAAACGTTGTTTTGCTAGTCGAAGAAATAAATAAATTTTGAGATATACGTTTTATAGTGAGATCTAACAGGAGTGCGGATACTAAATTTGGTTACTCTAGCGTTAATAGTCTCTGAGATTGATTTTCGTCCTTTGCGGGGCCGGAAGGTGGTGTGGCGAAATTTTGACACAAAGCGATCAAGGTCCGATATCACAGGAGTGTGGATCAAAAATTGTGTTGCTCTAGCTCTTATAGTCTCTGAGATCCTTGAACTCACATTTTGCAATAGGCAAAGCCGACCATGAAACCTGCGTGTTAGAGAGGACAGAGCGAGAAAGAATGGAATTGTTTTCTTGATTCTGGCTATAATAATTATACGATCTGGTTCAGATTTTGCAATCTAGAAGATATAGTCATCTTCTACGATTCTGCGATTCAGTTTTCTCGTATCGTCGAAATTGTGGATGCCACAGATGTTCGCCTTTTGTGGGGGCGGAAGTGGGCGGGGCAAAGTTTTGAAATATTCCTGTAGCAGTGACATATCACAGAAGTCTAAATCCAAAACATCGTTGCTCTAGCTCTTATAGTCTTTGGGCACTAGGCGCTGAAGGGGATGGACAGACGGACAGACGGACGGACGGACAGACGGACAGACAGACATGGCTCAATCGACTCGGCTATTGATGCTGATCAAGAATATATATACCTTATGGGTTCGGAAACGATTCCTTCTGGACGTTACACACATCCACTTTTACCACAAATCTAATATACCCCAATACTCATGTTGAGTATCGGGTATAATACTTAACGTTTTGCTTGAGAATCTTCCCGGCTCAGATTTGGGAAGTAAAGTGCACAGACCTCTCACTTAGCCCCATCCCCATCGCTCCGATTCCCCCAATTCATTCGAATTCATGATGATAAGAGCAGCGAAAACGCAACAGATGCCAATCAACCCACATGTACCAATCGCAGGATCTGGTTAAGAATAATCAGAAAACATGTACACAGGTGGATATGGAGAGCGAGTTATACTGATGCAACACCCCAATCCCAAGAGCCAATGTTCACTTAAGAAAAGTAAAATGTGAAGACTTGGCTGAATCATGTCTGAATGAAAAATAAAATATTCTTCATTGATAACAGTAATATCATTTGTTTTTCTACATTCTGATTGAACATAGGATAATCTTCGTTCTGCAATACATTCCAATTGAAGAGAGTGAGATGAGCAATATATAAATATATTGGGAGGTATATAATACTCCAGGATGGTTTTTTTTTGTATCGAATTGGTGGCTCAGCTTAAGAGACACGACATGAGAAAATGAGAGAAAATTATGAAGATGCATAGTCGACAAAAGTAAGCAGGTGACTGACCAAAGGGAATATTCGCTTAGAAGAAATTCGTTAATCATAGATGACTATTTAAGCCACGAGATCGGTTGTCAACGAATATTGAAATTACGACATAATAGATAATAAAGTAAATACTTGTACACTCTTTCACAACAAAGCTCAACAATTAATACAGACATATGATCATACATACATACATACATATGTACATATGTGTATATTAGATTGGTAAATAGGAGATGCAAAGATTTGTGTATAACTTCTAGAGGTTTTATTTAGAAAATAATTTAGAATTGGATCCTTTACTTTAGAAAGAATTTATATTTCGGTCCAAACACCTCAAAACGCAGACTAACTTTCCCATTATATTCTGTTATATACTTATGAAATATTTTGAATAATTCGTGTTTCATTGTAAATACGGCCAGGGATATTCCAGTAGCCAACTGGATAAAGCGAAGGAGCAGGACTGGGACCCGGATTAAAAAGGCTGTAGCTTCTATCCGTTCCGTATAAAGTAACAGGCTATTGGGGGGCGAACTGAGATGCCTTCTGATAGCCGGGAGTACTTGGATTGGAGGCAGAAGGTAATCCATTAAAGCCATTTGCAAGCAAGCAATTTACGCTAGGCGGAGCGTCAACTAACGAACAACCCGTAAAAGTGAAACAAATTCAATTTACAGCATGGAAAATAAAACAAAAATTACATTTTTAATTGGAAAATTACAGCAACAAGACGTTCGAGATGGAGTGCAACGAGGGCAGGACAAGAGCTGAGGACATTGATGGAAGATGGAAGCCTGACCATTTATTACCTTCGCTTCACCCGGCACAGGGGATAATTACTCAATTTGAGCGATATATTTCCCTTGACCAGGAGCTGATCCAGCCGGGCCTCTGTGATGATGCGATAGCTCCGAAATATCTTGGCCAGCAGCAGCTTCATCAGCATCTGAGCATACCGGTAACCGATGCACATGCGCAGACCCTTGGTGAATGGCACAAAAGCAAAGGCATGACGGGATGGTGCCTCGGGTCCGAAATGTGCGTCCGGATTGTAGGTGCGGGCCAGTGGTCCCCACACCCGTTCGTCCCGCTGCATATTGTAGATGTCGATCCCGATCTGGGTGCCGCGTGGGATTAGAAAATCGCCGTCATCGCGCCGGAGAGGGAAATCCTGAGCTGCGGAGCGAAGGACCATGGGAACGGGTGCAAAAAGCCGCATGGCCTCGTTGATTGCCATTTCTGTGTAGGAGAGGCGCTCCAACTGATCCAAGGAAATGTTTCCGTTAGGCGGAAGTTCCGCCACTAGCTCCTTATGTAGCTTCTCCTGGTAGGTCGGATGCATGGCCAGGCAGAGTATGGTGAAGTAGAGAGCCGTTGATGTGGTCTCAAAGGTCTGTCCCAGAGAAAATTTCAATGTACGCTTCAGACTTTTATCTAGGGTCTCTTACTTACCGCTGCAATGGTGACATTGGCCTCATCTCTGACATCCTGCCAACTAAGTTGTCCACGCTCCACATGCTCCCTCACCTGTTCAATAAAAATTGACTTCGATTTATTCTTCGACTCCTGTTGCAATGGCTCCTTGGAGGTGTCGAGATCCACAACCGAGACAATCGGGGACAGCAGCTGTGGGAACATGCAAATCATTGGTCATGTCACGGAATTGAGTATCAATTTACCTGCTCCACAAACCCACGGAGAACGCCGACAACCTTCGTCTGTTGGACAAAGAGTCGCGAGCGTCGATAAATGAGTTCCGGATAGAGCCAGGGCGACAGCATTCGCTTGACACACACCTCCGTCAATCTTTAAAGGATACATACATATACAAGCAAAAAATGTTAAACTCTGCAGGTCCTTGGCACCATTAAGGTAGAACGAGTTGCATTTCCGGCTGAGATGCTACAAGATTGTAATTGGCTAATAGCTAAGAAAAAACTAAAAGGACAAAAAAACATGAAATGATACTTGAACGTCTAGCCTGCTTTCCAAAGACAGAGTCTCCAAAAGGAAGATGAACAATATGGTTGGAACTGAATTATTAAACTGAGTGGTTATTGAGCAGACCTGTGTCGGAAGTCCAGGGACTAAACACTTGTATGATATTCCAAATGCGGCATACAAACATACGATTCATAGTCAGAAAAAGTGAATATCAGATGCTTAGATACGGGAAACTGTATATTTTTGTATTTCACATCAAAATACTCACCCATTGTACGCCTCGAATATTGCCGCAGAGCCGTCATGCTGGAAATTCATTTTCCTGCCCATGGTTGTCTCTACATAAGAATTATGTAATTGGAAAATGATATGCAAAAGTGTTTAGTGGCTACTCACGACATGCCGCTTCCAGTACAATCTTCTTCAAGATCTGATATATCTCCAATTCCTTGCCATGCTGTACACCCTCCAGATCCAGCTTCAGCAGCAGAACCTCCGCCTCGGCATTAAAAATGGGCAAATAGTTGCAGAGGATCTGACGTCCAAACGCAGGGTTGATGAGTCGACGATGCTTGTGCCAGCGGGGAGCGCTAGATGTGAACAGTCCATCGCCTATCGCCGAGCTCAGGAAGCGGTAGAAGTCTCCCTTGTTGGTGCAGTGGTTCGAGTTAAAGACTTGCTCCACAGTTTGTGGGTCGTTGACGTAGAGAAAGCAACTGGTTCCCATCCAGGAGACGAAGGGTGCTTTGAACTTGTGCGACAGTTTATCCATGTACTGCAGAAAGGCTGCAAAAGACAGTTAGCCCCAGCCTAGATTGGCTTAACTCCGGCCGCTCTTACTCTCGGTATTCATCATTTGCAGCCCCATGCCGATTAAAGGCCAGCCGATAGGTCCCTTTAGCTGCCAGGCGGCCTTGTAGTACCGTCGTCGGGTCCACAAAAAGTACGTCCAAACCAGAAGCAACCAGATGGCTAGAATGATGCAGGTGCCGAGCAGCATGTCGTTGAACTCGGGGGTCCCCAGAGCGCGTCAGAAATTAATTGTTTATCGCGCAACGTTCAAGGCAACACTGAGTCTAGGCAGCCCAGCTCAGGCACCCATTGAGGTTTCTATATGTACGAGTATATGGATGGAGCGTCAGTGTGGAGATTACGCATTTGTGGCGTAATGAGGAGCTTACCATGCCCGCCACGTTTGAGCCTCTCCTTAAGGTGTTCCATTCGCATGCTAGTCGCGTGCCCCTAAAAATTATGCCAATCAATAATAAAATGCAGCGAGGCAACGATGTTAGGCTAGTTTGAATGTACTCTTTAAACTTTTTAAAAATGCTCCGTATATTGGTAATAACTGTTTTTTTTCTTTACTGACAAGCACGTTAAAAAAAAAATCAAGATACCCTACCCCACCTACCCACATCGTGGTATGTTTCTTGACCTTATTTTAATTTAGTAATTGGTTAATTATTGGGAAAACGGATACGTCAGCTTGCTTGTAGTAGTGCGCGCGAGAGCGAGTTGCGACCGAAGCGCACAGAGTGCGGCAACCCTCTGCTGCTGCCGAACACAGCTCATTCCCCACCCCCATTGATACTCTTTAAACATTCATTTGGTTTTTTTTTTTATTATGCTTTTTATTCGCTAGTCATATTTTTACAAATTGTTTTAGTTGTGTTTTTGTTTATTTCAATTATGCATTACTTTTTTTCAACAACGTACTTTAATATTATCTTCTGTATTTCCTTGACTTTTAATTTATCCTCTTGCGGCGAGTCAGTTTCCATTTGTTATTTTAGTTATGTTGAGATAGAGAGACACATGCGGAAATGGAACATACATATGTATGTTGATAGGCTTGTTGGTAAAACTTAGTGCGCTCTGTGTTGAGTGAACGTCTCCAGGTGTTCCAATGGATTCCACATTTTAGGATCTGGACCATATATTTGGATCCTTCGATATTCTACAATGCTGCACTCCACTCTCTTTTTAAGTTTAAGCTAGGTTTAAAAAGTTTGCGATATTTGTTTTTTTGTGGACGTTGCGTTTCCAGTTTTGTCATTGGTTAGTTTTAGTTTGGAGTTGTAAGTGGTTGCTTCTGCATTATACTAAAGGATGTGTTCGGGGTTGGTGTTACAATTTTTCAACCGGCTGTCTTTCGGCATTGATAAACGTAAGCACGATACTGCCTGACTTGCAGTTATTACACAGTTTAGTATATAAATATATGCCAGTCATATTTCCTTAGTAGGTCTACCTTATATACACTTTCCATATGCCTAGCCGTATCTCGAGGGACCTAAAGTTTGCCCTGCTTTATAAATAAATTATACACCTTTTTATTGTCAAAAATATTGACGACTCGCGACAACTCCGTTTGTGGTTTTCCTGGCATTACACATAAGTTGTACAAGAATCAAGAATGATCTGCCCGAATACATACATACATAAGTAGGTAATTGTTTTAAACTATACCGAGTTGTTAACTAGGGTAGACTCAATCTTGGGGACCTTCAGGCGATGTCTTTGTCACCTTGATCTGTTTTCTTTAGAAACTTTTCGAATTGCAGATAAGATATGTACGCCCTTACAAATTGTGCTGTGGCTTGTGGCTTAACGAAGAAGAGTTGAAAGAATGCCAATCCTCATCTATCCTTTGATTTGATGAATACAGCGTGTGTTATATCTGCTTATAGAAAATGTAAGTAAATGTATCCATGTGCAAACATCATTGCATCTAATATGTATTGGCATCGGTAAGGGCATACACGTATCGGCTTGCCGGGCAGTTCATTCTTAAACAAATTTATTTGCAACTCTCAGGGATGCTGCTTCTTGACTTATTAAAAATATATATATATATATATATTTTTTGTTAAACTGCTTTTGCTGTATATTGTAGGTGTTTTGTTTTGCAAATTAATTTCAAACAAAAGAGAAAATCCTGCTGTTGATCTTAATCTATGTATAGGCAACTCATGCAAATATATTATTCCTTGCATGTACATATAAATGTATACAAAATAAACTTTGCTTTCACATTGACGCTTGCATAAAAATTGTAATCAAAAAACACTGGCATGGTTCGTTTGTGACTGTTTGAGATGGGGTAAGACGGTGCAATTGCTCAGTTTTTGTGTTTGGGGGGCGGGGGACAGATATGGTCTATATGGTATGGCATGAGCATTGTGGGAGGGGGGCAAAAGCTAGGCTAAAGAACCCGATGCGGTTCCTGATATTAGATATTAAATGGCTTATGACCTTTGATGGAATTTATGTGGTTAAATGTTCATCCTATCATTCCTTTATACTTAGGCACAATAAATTTATTTTGCTTTTTTAATTTTTACTCGACTTCTTGAAGCTGTAACTTTTTGCTAAATATTTTGCTTCGCTTAAAAGTAATTACTACGTGTTTTTTTGTGTGTGTGAGCGGTGTGTGGATGTGTGAGTTGGTGTTGTGGCTAATTATTTCATATACATATTTGTTAAGCGATTATTTTTTGCATATTCCTGCAATTATTTCTACTAAAATTTAAACATTTAAGCCGCTGGCCAATCATTTAAAGCTTTTCACAATCATGTTTATATGCAAAATAAAAAATATGTATAATAGGATTACAAAATCTACTCAATAAATAATACATCATTTAATTGTATTGTTGAACTATTTCTATTGCACGCTTTGGGGCGCGTGTTGGTGTTTCCATTAGCTTGTACTCGTATAGATAGTGAACTCTTGATTTTCATAATTTCCGTTTGTTCCTACAAACCGTTTTAATTGCTTGGGTTTCTTTTGTTGTTTTTCGTTTTCTTTTAATAACGCAATACGTATCACTTAGCGGATGTGCCATCGAGAATGATAAACAAATAATTGGAATTATATAAAAATGCTCGCTGGCTGAACGTAAAGGGACTTGGAAATTGGCGGATAGCTCTTGGGCAGATGTTTGCTGCCATCTTTCAAAGCAAATCCGCAAACATCGGCCCAGAACAGTTGGCTATCTCTTCTATCTGGCTTTCTCTAAACAATTACAATTTGGGAATTTATTTTTTCACACATTTTCAACGCACGAATACAAAAATTATTGCCGTACAATAGTTTCTTTCTCTTGGGTATTCAACTTTACACACAGCTCTTCTACTTTCAGCTTACACACTTTTCATGAGCTTATTTTTGTTTTTGTCTATAAACAAAATACGATACGAATGAATGCTACAGAATAGAGAAAAACTTATGTTTTTATGTTTTTTTCTGTGTTTAGTTTCCTTTTTTTGTTGTGTTTGTTGCTGATTCTTAGCTAATTCATGACTTCTTCTTTGCTTCGAGATGATTAACTCTCCGCCTGCTGGTTGGCCGTGAACTGCGTGATGCCATCGTTTTCCATGGACTCGAGGATGTCTGCCACGTAAACTGCCACATCGGTGTGGCTCGTTTCGCCACGACGTATGAAGGGCATCTCCAGCAGTCGGCTATACTTGGGCCTGTCGCTCTCCTTTTTAATCAGGCTAAAACAAATGGAGCAGTGAAGAGCGACTTAATATTCAAATTATAATTTTGTAGTGCTTACCATGTGTTGACAAATTCTACAAACTCTTTGGAGAACTCCATGCCATTATAAGAGGTCATTAGTCTCGGCGGTTCGCCTTGAACAACCTAAAGAACATAAGAACCTAAGACACATTCCCGAAGCTTAGCTTAACTTTCAGCTCACCTGGCACAGCTGCTCAAACACAGAGTCCCATTTCCGATATGGGAAATTACCTGTCGCCACCTCCATCAAAGTGATTCCCAAGGACCACACATCGCTTCGCACATCGTAGCCCTTGGCACGTTCTGGATCGATGCGCTCCGGCTGCAGAAAAATTCAAAATATGCAATCAATCGATAATGATTTTGGCAATTGGATTTTTTCAGTTTCCTTACCGCCATGTAGGGCCTGCAGCCCGCATCCTTGGTCTTCGCTATAGAGTCAACTAATTGGCCTGAAATCCCAAAATCACACAGCTTGATGTCGCCTCGGCGATGCAGTAGAATGTTGCTGGGTTTTACATCCCGATGTATTATCTTCAGCTCCTCCTTCAAATAGTTCAACGCATTCACCGTGGCAACTGTGATTTTGGCGAGGATAGACTCTGGTAAGTGACGATGCTGTTTCTCGAATATGTACTTGTAGAATTTGTCCAACGACGTATCCATCAGTTCCATGCATATCCAGCAATCGCCCTCTTTGAAGAGCGCTCCATAGAACTGAACAATGTAGATGCATTCATTGGACTTCATTACCACTTCGAGATCCATAAGCAGCTGCTTTTGTTCCTTTTCGTCGACGGTAGAGCGGATGCGCTTTACTGCCATAACCTTATCCAACTTCTTGAATATCATCTTATTGACTGCACCAAAGGCTCCGCGCCCTATCTCACCCTCGTCCTCGAGATCATCTGACGTAAACTGATGTGTGTTCGCAGCACCCTCGCCAAACTGAAGCTTGCCACAGGCCTGCTGGCGTATACGCTCCCGATGGCGGTCTGTAGCAGTGCTGCTGCTGCTACTGCTGATTGAAGCCGGCGCAGGCCCACCTCCACCACCGGCGCCACTGCTGGTGGCTATTGGGGGCTGGGCACTAAAGCGCAGCGCCACATTGTTATGTTGAGATGAGGAACTGGAGCCCGAGGATGTAGACCCGGACGAAGTCGACGAGGTTGACGAGGGCGGATGGCGAATGCTTAGGTTGTTCAGACTGAGCTGATCGGGAGGGTTGCGCGAACGACTGGGTCCAGCTGTAATTTATTAATGTTTTGTGCTTACTTTTTTGGCTTATCAACTTTGCGGTGTGTGCACTCGTACTTCCTCAGATATGCGTCAGTAGTAGTAGCAGCACTTATGTGTGTGCGTATGTACGTACAGATTTATATATGTATGCACATATATATCAGATGGTGGTGCTATGTGTATGTCGAGTGCGTGGGCAGAGCCAGGAAAAATAAATACTCACTTGCAAACAAATTTTTCGGTCGCTCGGCCATTGTGACTGACGGCTGCTTCGGGATACTGGCAGAACAGAAAGTATTGATATTATATTGCTTTGTTGCCAAAGGATGTCTGTCTCTGGTCTTTTCAGTGGGCGCCGCGCCCCTAATACAAAACGTTGATTGGGACTGTGAAAGGGCCGAAGGTTGCGCTATGTTCCTCCGTCGATTGGTTTGCTTGAGGGTCCAACTCAACACTTTTCTTTTCTACGGTTAAAGTGCACATGCACTTTTTAGTAATTTACATAAATACCCAACCAAAAGGGCTAGAGATGAAACATTGATTTATTTCGCGGTATCGATAGTGCACACTCCAACGGGCGATATGCGTCGATAGCTAACGAGTCCAAATATGGTCACACAGCATTAACCATAAACAAATCACATAATCATGTCCAGCGGATTTGCACGAAGCTCGTACAAGTTGTTTGTGGGCAACCTGCCGTGGACTATCAGCAGCAAGGAGTTGAAAACTTACTTCTCCCGCTACGGACACGTGGCCAATGCAGAAGTGGTCTTCGACAAGAAGCAGGGTCTGTCAAAGTATTACGGATTCGTGGTCTTTAGCCAGCGCGATGCTTACAACAGCGCCAGCAATCAAAACACCCACTTCCTAGAGGGCAGAGTACTCAATGTGCAGCGCGCAAACGAAAGCCAATAAAGTAAATGGAAGAATATAGTATTTAATTGCGTGTACAAAAGCCATACAAATATTTCGATTGTTTCATTTTTAGTTCCTAAAACCCTGTGTTTTTTTCTTGGGTAGGTAGAACTTAGAGTTAGTCCCAACCACCGACTGTATATTGGAATGACCTCGTTGGGTGATTAGTTTCGAGAGTTCGTCCTTGATCTGCTCAACGAGATAAGGGCCCTCGTAGACCAGGGCCGTATAGATTTGGACGTAAGAAGCTCCCGCCTCAAACTTCTGGTACGCGTCATACCCAGATGAGACACCGCCGACGCCAATTATGGGAACTTTACCGTTGGTGAGCTGGTACATCTGGGCAATCATCTCTGTGGAACGGGCTCTCAGCGGCTCTCCGCTCAACCCGCCTGCCTCAGCGGTCCACTTTGCGTCGTGCAGATTGTCGCGCGACACTGTCGTATTAGCCACAATGAGACCATCCACGCGACTCTTATTCCGCTTAATGACGTCTACTATGTCGCTCATGTCAGAGATCTCTAGGTCGGGCGAAAGCTTTAGCAAGATCGGGACATTACGATTACTTTCCAGACGCGACCGTGCCTCGTTCACTTGTTCCAGCAACTCGGTTAGCTTCTCCTTGCTCTGCATATCCCTCAGTCCTTTCGTATTGGGACTGCTAACGTTGATTACTAGGTAATCCGCCACGGGACCAAACATCCTGACTCCCTGTACGTAGTCAGCGACTGGGGTCATGGTGTTTCGATTGCGTCCCAAGTTTACGCCCACTATGGCATTAAAATTCTCTTTTTTACGCGACTCACTAAGCCGCTGGAGAACTGCTTCATGGCCATCACTGTTAAATCCATAGCGATTTATAATGGCTTTGTCCTCGGACAGGCGGAACACTCGAGGCTTCGGATTTCCCTCCTGAGCTGTGGGCGTGACAGTTCCTACCTCAACAAAGCCAAAGCCTAGATCTTTCAGGCCGTCAACGGCCTCGGCATTCTTGTCAAACCCAGCGGCGATACCAATCGGATTGCTCAGCAGGCGACCAAAAAACTGGGTATTCAGATTGATGTCATCTTGGTATTGGGAGGCTGGATAGACGCGATACTTGCATGCCATCACAGCCAAGTTGTGGCTGGCCTCTGCGGGCAGAAGACGCACGGCCGGCATTATAAACGTGCGGAAAAACCGGTCCTTGTTGTTATACGCCGTAATACCCATAAGCAAGGCGGTGGCCCCTGTTGTAACAATTCCCAGCGAGCGCATGCGACTCTAGAGAGACAAACGTAAGACGACCTCAGACTTTTTTCATCCATTTTAATACGAACTTACGAATTTCTTAGATTTCTCCATCGACAGTAATTGATCTTGGCAGAACAAAACAACAGAATCTTAAGAAATTTAATTTGTTGGATTTCGATTTCTAAATTTGCCTTGAAGGGAAGTAAATGTATCGATAGACAGATTCTGAATAGCTCACTTGCACATCTCTAGGTTTAGTCAGATGTTTGTTATTGTTCATGACCAGCTGAATTGAATTTTGTGAAGTAAACTGGCCAAAACATGAAAGGCGGAACGTTTCGCAACACGCAATGGGACCCCACGCTGCTGACCTCACAAATCATTTCGATGCAGTTCTGCGTGTACTTCACACTTGGCCTCCTCGTGTTTGTAGCCAACAAGTTGTCTGGCGACAACTACACACTGGACCATTTATTCGAATATCGTGTATGCATTTTAAACAACAACCACTATTAAAATAAGCTTCATGGATCGTGTTTCTGTTTCACCATCTAGGAAATACACATATACGACCTAGGCGGCAGGCTGGTCATTTGCGCCTTTGTCGTAAATGCGTTTATGGCTTCGCTGGCTCTGTGGTGCATAGTAAGACGTGCGAAGCTGTGTCTGGACTTCAGGTGATTATTCTAGCACAAGCACTTTCCGTTGTTCTAATCTGTCTACCACGTTCATCGGTTTTCGCCGCAGTTGCACCTTTCATGTCCTGCACTTGCTAATTTGCTGGTGGTACAATCGTTCATTCCCCGCGAACGCCTCCTGGTGGCTGCTAAACGTCATAACAGGAACCATTATGTGCATAGGCGGGGAGTTTCTCTGTCTTCAAACCGAAATGAAAGAGATTCCAGTGGGCTATGCTGCTCTCAACCAAAAGTCGGACGTTTGATGGTCGAAGTTGCCATTCACTTGTGATGCTTGTTAGCTTTCCCAAGCTCTAACGTACATATAATTTATTGTTAAACTAGAATACGATTACATAGCATTATACCCTGTTGTGCGTTTGGACTAATGTAATATCTGGTAGACGAAGGGCGGCCCGTGCTTCAGCTTGAGTCCCTCTGGCACCATCCCCGGGAGTATGGAGAATTTTGCTTCTGGCTCGCTGTAATTGCGCGAAATCAGCGACCATAAGTGCACCTCCCGTGGAACAAACATCCAGTAACTGAAGGCCAGCGTTAAGGTGAGGATCAGTGAGCCCAACAAAAACAGCATCCAGCACAGACCACGTTGTGACTTCTGCATATTGTCTCGAAAGCAAACTGACACACGAAAATGTACACAGCCGATCCGCAAAAAATTAAACAAATGAATGAATGCAGCAAAAAATGCCCGTAATTGAACAACAACCGAATAGCTCGCGCGGGTGTGGTCGTGCGGCAGGTAGCTTCCATTTAGGTCACGCCCATTTCCTTTTTTAAATTTTAGCGACAACACAACGCAAGAAAGTTGCTCCGCAAGCTTCGAGCTTTACTCTCTACACAAATTTATCTGAGAAGACAAACAAAGAATCGACAGCACGAGTCCGCTCCTCTCCCCTGCAACTGCCCCTGTCCCTGCCACCACAATGCAAAGCGAACTAATCAGGTTTGTCTAATCTAATCTAATTAGTGTATGGGACCACGATCGTTATTTCCGTCGACAGGCAGCCCAACAGACTTCGCTGTACTGGTATTTCCCAATTACTCTCGTCGCTGGATGCTATGCTCGTTCGACTCGAAACCTTTTCGGATCGCACATCGCACTCATCAAGTATGTTACATCTCATACATATGAAGAGTGCACGCATCATCTATGCAATTCGTTTTTTTAATTTATTTAAACGTATTTTAGTTCGCCTGGGCATAAAATAAATTGAAATTATCAAGAGCTGCCTGACATATGAGAAAAATCGGCTTTTAGCTGGAAACATGCTATAATTGGGATGTTGTAACACTGTAAGCTGGAGACTTTGAAATGGCTGTTATTAAACTATGAAATATAGTTTATATCATACCGTCGGCTTATAGTTCTATAGCAATTAGACTACATTCATTGTAGCATAGCAGTCACTTCCTTGCGTAATATCATACATACATACTATTTCGCTGTTTGATATTTTATTAATCGCCAGTTAAGTCATGCTCGTAAATTATTGGGTTTGTTGCCTGGGAAGGATGCTCTTTGAAAGATATATGTAGCTATGTATTTTACGGCGCGTCAAAATTCGTTTCCATGCTGTTTAAATGTGTTAAGCCGAACCTTTTTTGGAATAAAATATTTTTCGAACACTAGCTTGGATCAAAAGGGCTGTCCTGAGTTGGGGTCGTCGCGCTGTAATCTACAAAGGACCACTAACATTCTACGGCCAGGAGCCCGATGCGACGGCTCTCGATCAAGCCCTGCAGACCAAGACATTTCGGACTTTCCCCTGAGGCGAGTGGACCGACCTTGGGAACAGATAAGAACAGAACTAAACTCTTCCAGATGTTCCTGATCTATATTTTCTAGATTTAGCTGCTCCATACTCCTGATTAAATTTATTTAAAACTCCATACGAATAAAGAACATAAGCACATATGTACATAAGTTAAAGAATTCATATACAACGGCTTTCATTTTTAAGCATCGACTTGTAGAAACATTTTCAACGCAATGTGTCTCATACAAACGTAGCTGTTTATTTAGGAAATATTTTAAGGAAAAGTTTTTTGTGAAACTACATTCAAAAATATTAAACTAAATGAAATAAAGAGGTTCGCATTTGGAATCGAAATCAAATATTTTTAAAATAATATTAAGGCTTGGGAATGACCTCTACTTGTATCTACTTTTTTCTATCTCAATTAATATTATTTAAACTTCAACTCATTCAACAATATTTGTATTAATTCTTGGCTTTATTTTATCGTTGCATTGAGATGACCATTCGTGGCATAGAGAGCCAACTTAAGAAACTAACTTTGTATCTGATTTTCAAAACTCCAAGAAGAATGTGACGATATGCGAGTATCTTTTGATGTATTGAATAAGTATTCAAAACTACCTGTAGCTCTCTTTCTATATACATACATACGTAATTACATATATAATATCCCATGCTCTCATTTATCCTAACCCCCACCTAACGACCCTACAGTCCTTTCCTTATACTCCTTACATCTTCCCCCCATCTGGTGGCCAGGGAGATAGGATAGGAGAGGAGTCAGCCGCGGGAAATTTTGTTGTTTTCTTTTTCATTCTGGCGATAATAATACAGATCTGAAATCTGATAGATAAAAAATTCTGATTCTGCGTTTTTTTTGTGCTGTTTAGGAATACGCATAGTACTTTATAGTACCCTATGAGGTCTTAGGGCTCGCGCACACTGTAGCTGAAGGCGGAGCTGAGCGAGCCCTAAGGGCTGTTAAATTCTGTTAAAACTAATTTTTACTACTACCTTCCCCTTCTAATCCGCTATATGTATGTCCTTTCAAAAGCATTGGTATATAAATACAACTGTGGTCGAAGCCAACCCGGACTCCGCAAACGGTTTTTCGCCGTCCACCTGTGTATCGTATCGAGCTGCGCTTCAATGAGTGGGACTTCGAAAACAGGGTTTCGTTTTCTTGTACAGATTGCCCCATAAAGTTGCAACGTTCAGTTGGTAATGAAGCTAATTATCATAATGTATGGGATTTCCATATATGTATTCTATTCAGAATAGAGTACGAAATCTTACATTTAAAATCAAACCAAAATCAGACTACATATGTCTTTTTTTTCATTTGCTAAATTATTAAATTTATGTTTAGCAAACTTTGTTTTTTAATATTTTCTTTGTGTTGATTTCTTGTTTCATATCGTACATATATCATTACTATTTATCGTTTCATGTTTAAAATCATCAATTGAAGTTCAAGTTTTGCGCATTCATCATCTTGATCCGCTATCGACAGTATAAATATATATATTTGTATGTATATATATATATTTATTTATATATATTTGTATTTGAAAATTCCAAGAGAAATTATGTGAGAAGTATACCTTATGGAAAAAAATTCAAAATTGTATCTGTTGCTTAAATATTCTTATATTGTGGTGTTTATCATATTTGTAATATGTGTGTGTGTATGTCTGTTTTTAAATCCTTTCCTTCCTTTTCGCTTCAATGAATTTGTTGTTGCTGTTTCGTTGATGGGGCAGATGGGGGATGGATGGGCCTGAGTGTACGCTCTTTACATGAATAACATACTTTTTAAGTTTATTTTTTAGCATTTATTATTTTTGCTTCTATTGGGTATGGGGTTGGGTTATGGTTGGTGTTGGTGTTGGTGTTCGACTTGAGGGATAGGTAATAAATGGTCTAGATCTATTTCTGTGTGTCCGTGTTTGTGTGTTTGCTGTTTTGTGTGTGTTGCGCTGCGCACAGACAGATCCTCTTTCACATTTGCTGTTCCTATATAATATATGTATGTATGTGTACATAATATATAGTTTCTATCGACTGACCAACTGATCTCTGTTTGTGTTTTCTCTTCTCTCTTTAGTTCTCTTTAGTTAATTGCGAAAGTTGCTATGATGCGAGTGCGACTGCTGCTGCTGCTCCCTCGGCGTGGCGTACACAGGCCGTTGGTACCCCTGGCCCTGCGGATGAGGCCTTTCTCATTGACCCCACCAATCCGGACCGTTGCTTGAGTGCGAGGCGGCGCCGCCGCCATACGAGCCGCCATAGGATCCGCCACCACCGCCGCTGCTTCCGTAGTATCCGCCACCACCAGAGTTGCCTCCTGAGATCAAATTAGTGCATATGTGAGAAAATATCTGGAACCCGGAACCTGCTTGTTCCATTCACCAAACTTACCGTACGAGTTTCCATTGCTGCGGAAGCTTCCGCCACCACCGCCTCCAGCGCCACTGCTGCGGGGAGGGGGCCCACTGCCGCCGCGACTACCACCGCCGCCGCCGCCGCCGCCAGAGCTCTGGCGGTAATCGCGTGAGCCAAAGCCAGAGCCGCCATAGCGGGCGCCAGGACCTCCTCGTCGCTTTGCTCCGCCATGTCCACGATCCGAGCTGAGCAGATCCTCCAGGAAGTTAGGAATCTCCTGCTTCGTCTCAATCAGCAGCTCCAGCAGATCCGAGCAAATGTTGCGGTTCTTTTCATTGAAGAAGGACGTGGCCACGCCGAGATTGCCCATACGGCCGGTACGGCCAATGCGATGGACATACTCCTCCACATCCGAGGGCAGATCAAAGTTGATGACATGCTTAACATGTGGAATGTCCAGACCACGGGCAGCCACAGCGGTGGCCACCAGAATCGGGCAATCGCCGGAGCGGAAGCAGCGCAAAGCCTCCTCGCGCTCCTTCTGCGTGCGGTCTCCATGAATGCTGGTCACCGGATGGCTGCACTGATAGAGGAACTCCTCCAGCGAGTCCGCCCCCTTCTTTGTCTCCACGAAAATGAGCGTCAGGCTGTCCTTGCTATATTCGGGCCCATCGCGTATGGAGGAGAGCAGATCGAGAAGATACGAGCGCTTGTCCTGCTCGTAGACCCAGAGAATGGTCTGAGTAATGTTCTCGGACGTAGAGCCCACTCGGCCCACGGCGAGGAAAATGTAGTTGCTGAGAAAATCGCTCGCCAGTTCCTGAATCTGCTTTGGGAATGTGGCCGAGAACATCAGCGTCTGCCGCTGCCCAGTGGGTGGCATATTTAGCTGCTCCACAATGCGACGGATCTGCGGCTCAAAGCCCATGTCCAACATGCGATCGGCCTCGTCCAGTACTAGAAAGCGAATATTTTCCAGACCCACCTTGCCGCGCGTGATCATGTCCTCCAATCGCCCCGGTGTGGCCACAATCAAATGGCATCCCCGGTCCAGCTCGCGCATCTGCTCGCTGGTGTTGTTTCCGCCGTAAAGAACGGCCGGACGCATGCGAGAACGGTAGGCGAACTTCTTGGCCTCCTCAAAGATCTGGGTAGCCAGCTCGCGGGTCGGTGCCAGCACCAGACCCAACGGATACTGCTTGCGCCGGCTATACTGTCGATTGTTCTGCGGCGGCGCCGACATACCGTGCTCGTACATCTGATTAAGGATGGGCACGAGAAAGGCGGCCGTCTTGCCGGAGCCGGTCTGGGCACAGGCCATCAGATCACGTCCGCTGATGATGATCGGTATGGCGTGCTTCTGCACCGGTGTCGGTTTGTCATAACGCGCAAGGCTCACGTTGTTGCGAATAATCTCCGTCAGCTGCACATCATCGAACGTTGTGATATTAGGTGGAACATTCTGGCCCGTCGCCTCCACGGGTATATCCTCGTATTTGTCAAAATTGATGCCCGTGTTGCCGACGCCGAACAGCTCCTGCTCCAAACGCTCGTCCCTGGCTCCCAGTTTTGTGTAGTCGGTGTTGCCGCCTCCGCCTTCCTTCCAGCGACTGTTGTAGCCAGAGCCGCCTCCGCGTTCGCCGCGATTGTTAAAGGTTCTGTTTCCGCCTGCTCCCGGAGCGCCGCCTTCGACACCGCCATCAAAGCCGCTTGGACGCTCTGGCTCCTGCCAGCGATCATTGCGTGGCTGTTGCGGCTGTTGGCCCTCATCGGGCTGTTCGTCAAGGGCAGTACCACTGCCGCCTCCACCACCGCGATACGAGGGACCTCGCCGATCCCCACCGAAGCTTCGTCCACCGCCGCCACCACTGCGATTCCAGTCGCCTCCACGACGCGATTCGAAATCACCTGTGATAAAAAGTGCAATAAAATGAGATGAGAAACTCGCCCTGCAACGGTCGAACCCCCGACTTACCGTTGTAGTTGTCCTCAAAGCGACCGCCACCACCTCCTCCACGACGTCCTCCGCCGCCAAAACTTCCGTACTCGCCGCTCTGACGATTGTAGCCACGACCACCGCCGCCGCCGCCTCTGCGATACTCACCGCTGCGGTTCTGCTGCGGTTCCCTGCTGTCGGCGCGCGGATTAGCGGCTCTCGAATCGAAGCCCTGGCCTTGGCCCTGGCTATCTACCTCCGCTGCGTTGTTGTTGCCACCACCACCACGAAGATGCGGGGGCACATAAACACCACCGGTGACCGAGTTAGTGGAAGTCTTGCTTGTTATGGGGCCGCTGTAGTCAGCTGAGCCGCCATTCAAGTCCAGACCAGCAACCTGAAACGAGAAGCAAGTCGTGCGTGACACGAGCGGATCCGTGAGTATAAAATTGACGTCGTGTGTACAAGCTCCTCAAGTTCATCGAATGGCAGACCAACCCGGTGGCATAACAAGTTTTCTCCTAGAACTCCATCCCATATCCCTTTCTTCTCTTCTACCACCTGGCAACATGTGCGATTTCTTTCTTCTTTCCCACACACTGAACACTCGTGCACACCGTGTAGCCTCCCGCACATATACAGAGAGGCGCAACTAGTTTAAAGCCCCGATTTTCGGTCTTTGCCATTACACAGAGAGGGTGCCCGCCTAGCAACACAACAACAACATGGCCACCCACAAACACACAAACGCAAATCTCAGACAAGCTTCATGTATTGGTAGGAGGTTTCGTAGCGGCGAATAGTAAGCGCAGCTGTGGATTGAGAATCAGTGGAAAGTGTGGAACGCGTGTTGTAAATATAAATACAAGACAGGGTGTCTGTTCATGCGAAAATGGTTGAGGTATAGTAAGCATTGAAAATACAGTGTAACGCAAATATTACCAAGGTATAAATATTATATTCTACATTTTTGAATAGCACCATCTACATTTGTGATACAACCTTTTTATCCCTGACAACCCTATTTACAACACTCAGCTTCCACATGTGCGCGCAAGCGAGAAAAAGAGCGGAACACTGACACACGCACGCACACAGGCACACAAACACAGCAACGCACTGGTTTAGAATTGCGGCTCTGCTCACACTAACATTAACATACAAAAAGACAGGCACTTTCACACACACGAAAGATTGGAAGCAAACGGGCAAAAATTATACAAAAGAAATTACAAATGTGAATAACGAAGAAGAACTTGGACACAAATACACCGAAGACCAGTGCACGTACACAGTTCACCGTTGTAAATGAGAGATACGCTTGACAGCCAGAGACATTTGTGTGTTATGAAATCAATAAATTTTTAGCCCGAACATTGTCCAATAACCGCATGAGCCTCGTCATACAAACTGTCGCACACACACACAGTCGAACGGATATACATACATATGTCTACATATGCATATAATACTTTTTCCGTATAATATATATATTTCGCCCAGGATTCCCCCACCACTCGACTAACCAACAGACGACATTTCATTTGCTTTACTTACTTGCTGCTCTAGACCTGTGCCATTTTGGTTAATAGCATTACTCATATTATCCTCCAATCAGTTGCTTGTTTTTTCTTGCTTTCCGTTTAGGAAAATTTTGCAGTTGTTACGCTTTGTTCGGGTGCACACTTGCTATTTGCGACAAAAAAAGATGTGTGAAAATTGTTTCTCTCTTTCTTTAGTATTTGTGTTGCACTTTGTGTCTATACGTTTTTCATTAGTTTTTCCGACTTCTTACGTTCCACAAGCTGCTGCTACTACGTTCTTATGTGGAATTTCAAATGAAGTCTGTACTTCTCACAGTTCCTTTGTTCAATTTTTGAATCGATCAACTTCGAACTTATACGGCCTGCTTGTGCCTCGACAATTACAAGCGGTTTTTGTAATTGTGCTACGCTTGGAAATTTTAATTTTTCCGACGAGTTCGCGTTTTTTATGCTCAGACGCGTGTCTAAATCAGAGATGAGAAGAAAATGAAAGAATTGGAGGGCTGCAAAACCATCGCTGACACATCGTCTCACCTCTAGAAAGAAACTCTCAACCAATCGCTCACACAAAGAGCGAGAGAACAAGGCCGTTCGTGAGGGAATTAGAGGGCTGCAAAACCATCGAAGACACTATCGATAATATCTTTCGAAAGAGAAGAGTAGGATTTCGGATTTAAAATGGATGTGGAAACCCAATCTCCCAGGCTTCAGATCCGCTCTAATACTGGTGCATTGAATTTATTTAATATTCGATGGCTATATAGATGGTTTTGCAGGGGGAAACTTGCCTATTACGGGCTGCTAGAGATGACAATGATGATAATATATTTTTCTATGGCGCTGCCGGACTGCGGCAGTATCGAGGGCGGCAATTGGATGATTTTCGAATGGAAGAGAAATCTTGTGAAGCTGACTTAATTTTGTATAACTTTTGCCAAAAAAATTTGTGTTGGAATTTTTTTTAAAGCGTACGACGCCCTCCTATTTTGGGATCTGACGCAAAACGCATATAAGTTAAAACTGGAATAAATATGGTTTAAATTAGAGGGTGACAAATCCTTGGCCTAAGTAGGAAACCGCCACTTTTTACTTACAGTCTTCTTTGGACTTTATTCAACGTTCATGCTAATAATCTGACTGGTCAAGGTCCTCAAAATAGGAATTCGTTTCACAGATAATTTGACTGAAATCTCTTGACACCTTTTTTTTTAGATTTTGAGATAGATAATATTGGCGGAAATTCCGGGGATTATGATAGGTGTCGAACCAATTTATACAATGTTTCATAACAACTACCATTCATCGTTTCAAATGCCGTGGTTTTTCTTTTCCTCAGTTCGACTTCCATACATATACCGAAAATGCATTGAGAGACATGAATATGATCCAGCTGAAGGATTACACTAACCAACAAATTTATAATTCATCCAACGGCTAGCCGTCCTTGGAATTTATGTGTGTGTATATGGATGTGTACATTTTTATATAGAATAAATGCTTTTGGTATTGGCTATAGCTTCTGTCCTAGCTTGAGATTACATAGTGGAAACATTAAATACGGACATATATTGCTATATATATAGTTAGCTGTGTGTAAATATATGTAGATGTATATGTATGTATGTATGTATATGCTACATATGCTATATATGTATTAACTAAACCCTGTGCAGTATCTCGTATGCAAGTCGCATCGTCGTTCTGCTGGGACTAGCCCTTGATCAAGCATCTGGAATAGAATTCTCTGTCAATGGCATCGTTCGGAATGTACGAGCTCCACTTAAAGATCAGGGACAACGTGTCGCTGGCCGTCAGGTGGTCGAGGGCGATGTTAAGGAAGCAGTTCCAAGTGTAAAAGAAATGTCGCGTCAGCTGGTCCTGTTCCACGCTCGACACGCACTCGCAGTTTACGCAGATTAGGCGTCCACGCTGCAGCTCCGCAAACTGCTCGAAGCAGCGGGCCCAGGCAGACACGTTGAGCTGTCGGCCCACGTCCAAGAGCAGCTCCGGCTGTCCATAGTTGAGTACAATGGGGAGGACTTTATCGAGGTTCTGCTCGGCCAAATAGAACTTGGCCAGGACATCGAGCAGGGCAGGAACGGCTTGTACCACATCGAAGCACTTGAGTTGCTCGTTGCGAGACCAGAAGTAGCGAAGCAGGACGGCTCCAAGTTCGTGGTACTGGCAGGCGTTGTCGAACCGCAGAGGGAAGGCGCAGTGGTCGCATCTAACGATCTCCATACACTGCGGGGCATTGAGGAGCACAAATCCACTGGCAATGTAGTCCCGTGTGGAGTCATCCACCTCCCAGATGAGCTCGGGGTTCAAATAGTTAAAGTACATTTCGTAGCAATTTCGTTCTGCTTGCTCCTGCCCATCTCCGTGCTCCACCATCAATTGGGCCAGCTTGCCCATCAGAGCTATCAGCTCGCTGGCTGCGTACTCATCGAAGACGGCTCGATAGCGCTCAACGCAGTGCGTCCGACTGAACTTGGCGCTCTTGCAGATAAGATAGAGGTTGTAGATGGTCTTCTCCTCGGGGCTGATGTGGGGCGCTTGCGGCGTAGGTCGCTTGCAGCGGCTCACGATCTCCTCCTCCCCAACATCACCCGATTCGTATCGGGCCTTGATGTCCTTAAATGGTAGAGACCGCTCACTGGCTGGAATGAGCTCTCTCACCAGCTGTTGCTGCTCTTCTGCGAATATGTTGAACTTGTATTTGATGATGTTCTTTCCAAACTTGCCGGTGACGGTAAGTAGGGCATCCTTAAAGTGTCCGGACTTCGGCTGTTGCTTTAGATTATCGCAAAAGGCGTTCTCCAGGACATACACACCCTTTGGCGGGCCCTTGGTGGTGCTTACTGCAATAGCTCTCATGCTTCCGCTACGCTCGGTGGCGGCCGAGCTGCCGCCAGAGCTTTGGGTATCCAGCGCAGTTCCTGTGCACTGAGCTATAGCATCGAAGATTACGGAAATGTCGTTCAGGAGCTCGTACTCCTGTCTTTCGATCAGCAGTTGCTTAAGCTGATTGAGCAACTTCAGCTCGTAGTTTTCCCTGGCCTTGTCCGCAAAGTACTTCACATGCTGCCGCAGTAGATTCGCGCATTGGAGCAACTTCGACTGATGCATTAGACTGATGGAATACCCGTGGAGTGTCTGCAGCTGCACGCTGTACAATGAACCCGTCTGCGTGAACACAAATATCTCCATTCCGGATACACGGCAGTCCAAAATCCGCTCGAACTGGTTGCACCACAGGACTACGGACGAGTTCCGCACGTCGAAGATGTAGAGCCCCAGCTCGGTGTAGGCCAATAGAAAATCATGGCTAAGCCTCTGCACCCTAGAGAACTGCAACTGCTGCGGCTGGTAGTCCAGCAACTCGTCGTTGGAGTCCAGCTCGTCTGCGTTGTTGTCTACGTTGGTGGTTTTCTGTATCTTGGCGGGGGCCGTGGCCAGGGCGGTCTTAAACTGATGGGTCTGGATGACTTCGCCCTCAAAGTCCACCTCCCAGATTCGGGTACCGGGCCGTGCGCAGTAGATGCGCGAAGGCTGCACTGACTCGTGGGGCGAAATGAAAAAGCAGGCGCCGTAGGCGCCATCACGAGGACGGTTGCCGATCTACACATAGGGTAAAGAGGAAAACAGTTGTACTGACTAAACTTGTACTGACTTCGTTTAACCTATAATCACCTGTTTGTACTCCTCGTACTCGGTATTGCAGAGTATGCATTTGGTGCAGTTCGACACCAGGAGCAGGGATTCGAAGTCATCGATCTGGACAATGGGCGAGTCGAGATAGAGTAAGGGGTGCACAGTCATGTTGAGCAGCAGACTGTGGCCTATGAAGGAAGAGAGCAGGACAAGGTTCACCTGGCCCCGAGAGTCACCATAGTAGAATTGCTTCTCGTCCTGCGTCCAATGGATGCAGCTGACCTGGACAGATTGGTCCAGATGAGTGACGATCACCTGCGGCGTAGCCTGGGCGGACAGGTTCACAACGTACACGCAAATAAGGGATCGCTGAGTGGAGAAGGCAACGTACTTGTTGTTGGCTGATATGCTCAGGTTGGTGATGGCTCCATGTTTGTTAGGGATGAGGTGCAGAAACTTTCCGTTGCGATTGAATAAATAGAGGGAGCCGGAGGAAGCTCCAAAGATAATGTAGCTGTCGGAGATGTCGAAGCATGTGTACTGCGGGAAAAGAAGACGTTGTACAATGGTCGAGTGCGGTGCATTAGATTGCAGATGAGCTAATATGTACCTTTATTCGATTGTGCTTCAGTGGCAGCGACAAAGACAACGAAAAATCAATAAAGTTCGTCAGACAATACTCATCCGCCATCATGCAACTTCTGATTTCACCAACTGGTCTTTAAAAACATAGCGCGTCGGCTAAACAGCGTATCTTGAGTGTATACCAACTATTGAGCTATTTTAATAATAATTATTTATAATTTTTATCAAAGAACCACACTCTGACCAGTGTGACCGACCCTCAGAAATATACAAAAATATACCGTCTCATTTTAAAAATATACCGTAAATATACTGACGAATTCCAGTTCTATTTTACATATTCCTCGTTTCTGATATTCCATGGAATATTATAAGCTAGATAAAACATTTAGCTATGCCCACAAAATTTTATCCGATTGGTACATCTATTTTCTAATTTACTGGTTTATTTTAAACACTTGCTTTTATTGGATTGCTGTATACCGTTGAAAATGAAATTTAATAGATTGATGATTGTATATAGATTGTATATACCATTATATACCGATATACCGATATAAGAATAAATAGCACCTAAGAGATAAGCTACATGAAGACCTGCCATAAAATTACAAAGAAAATAAACAGAAAAACCAACAAAGAAACAAAATAAACATTAAACCACTAGCAGACGATCATCCCCAATGTGCCCACAGCACAGCCGCCAACGGTCACACCCACATCTGAGCTTATCAAGTGTGACCACAACCCGAACACCAACGGGCACATTATCAGCTCATCAGCACAAAACGCGTTAGGAACACACCAGGACGAAAAACAGCTGATCAGCACAAACGCGTTAGGAACATGCCCGTACGGAAGAGCTTCTTTTCGGAAATAAAACGAGCACAGCCAGAGCGATCATGATCAGTTCGGCTCCGGCCATGGAGAGGTAAACATCGGCAGCAACCACCAACAGTCCCAGCGTTCCTCCTATCCCTCTCGGAGCGCACTTAAACTTCCGCCACAAATTGTCACCTCGGAACGCGCTTAAACCTCCGCAACGTATCTTCTTGGAGCTCACTTAAACCTCCGCATCCCAACATACCTCGGAGCGCACTTAAACCTCCGCCAAAAATTGTCACCTCGGAACGCGCTTAAACCTCCGCAACGTATCTTCTTGGAGCGCACTTAAACCTCCGCATCCCAATTTCTCTCGGAACGCACTTAAACCTCCGCCACAAATTGTCACCTCGGAACGCGCTTAAACCTCCGCAACGTATCTTCTTGGAGCTCACATAAACCTTCGAATCCCAACATACCTCGGAGCGCACTTAAACCTCCGCATCCCAATTTCTCTCTAAGCGCACTTAAACCTCCGACAAAAATTGTCACCTCGGAACGCGCTTAAACCTCCGCAACGTATCTTCTTGGAGCTCACTTAAACCTCCGCATCCCAACATACCTCGGAGCGCACTTAAACCTCCGCCAAAAATTGTCACCTCGGAGCGCACTTAAACCTCCGCATCCCAACATACCTCGGAGCGCACTTAAACCTCCGCAACGTATCTTCTTGGAGCTCACATAAACCTTCGAATCCCAACATACCTCGGAGCGCACTTAAACCTCCGCATCCCAATTTCTCTCGAAGCGCACTTAAACCTCCGCCAAAAATTGTCACCTCGGAACGCGCTTAAACCTCCGCAACGAATCTTCTTGGAGCTCACTTAAACCTCCGCACCCAATCTTCTACTCGGAGCCAAATAAAACCTCCGCGACAAAGACCAACACGCAGCTATCCGCCACGTGCGGCCAACACGAAAGCCGACAGCGAAGGAAGACCCGAGACCAAACTCTGTACCTTTTAAGAATAATACCAATAACCCTATTTCTTTCTACCGCTTAATCCACGCCTTTTCCTTGAACCATGAGACTTTTTCAGATACCACATCCAGAGATCAAACAAATTTCCCCGGCGCGGAGAGCATACAGCGGTCGTAGCGCCGTCACAAGGTGGCTCGATGGAAATGACACAATGACGTACACTTTTGATGCCATAGGCCTCCTTGTTGTTGCTGACCGGTTCCAAATTAACAAAGAACCTAGCCAACGGCTTATTGTTGCTACGGCTACTTGCGTTTTTTATTTCCATGCCCCGTACGGTGTGGCCTTTAGCCGCTAGGGCTTTCCTTTATTTCCAAGATGTCAGTGGAATGGTGCAGACCCTTGGTGACAATTCTGTGGGCACGCTCGTCCTTGACTTGAAATGTCTAAGGTTTTTGCATTCCCAATGCTTCCCATTGTGCCGAGCTAACATCTCCCGCCTGTGCGTTCAGGCTCTAGGCGGTAATTTTATGTCTAAATGGTTTACATTACATTACAATACATTTTGTGTGAGTGCACAAAACTAGAATTTATATAGGCAACCGCGAGGCACTGCCATTAAGTCGATAGTTGAGTGTTGGCAGTCCGATTGTGCAGCGTATTTGAAGAGATTGGCAGCGCTATAACAGAACAAAAAGCATGGCCATTATGTCACGTCGCATCGAAACATTGCCACTTTGTGGGCTATGTATGCTCATAGTCGGTCAGTTCAATAGCTGTATCGATTGTGTTGCTGTTGTTGTTTTTACTCAACGATTTGATACTAATTTTGGATGGATTAATGATTTGCCTTTCGATGTTTTTTAGCTCGGCGAATTTGATTTTCTTGTTTATGTCTTTGGTAAGGATTGCTATCAAACGTTTTATATTGATCCTACGCTGTTCACTGAGTTGGGCGTGCAGTCGGTGTAGGCCATGTCTGAGTAGTGTTTTACAAACAATCAGTTCGCGACAGTATTTACTGAGCTTGAACGTTTTGCATTTCATCATCATCGTTGTCGTTATCATTGTATCCGGGGATGTTATCGATTGCCGTATTGAAGTGCTCAATGTGACGATCAACGGTTGTCTCATCGATGTTTCTTGTATTCTCAACATCTCCGTGTGCACGTAGATGTCTCAGTATGATTGCGTTCCATTTGATTGTGTCGATTTTGTTGAATAGTTTATATTCAATTGGATCACAATACTGCAATTGATGACCGTTTAGATTGAGACGAATCTCAATACCGAGATGATCCGATGGGAACTCGGCCAACGATTGGCCACGATTGATATCGGTGATGTTGGAGTCGATCTATTGTTTTTCGTATGCTGACCCAATGCCTGGCTTATTGTCATTGTTGTTGTTGTTGTATTATTGTTCGTTTTGTCATTTGGTTTCGTGGCCATTGGGTTTGTGTCCATATTGGTATTGCCTTTTATTTGGACGTTGACATGCAATGACTGCATCTTTCAAGAGGCGATGCAGTTACTGCCCCGTCAAGTGGCCCGTGTGACACCAGCAGAAGCCTTTGAATAGCGATGCGAATGTTTTGCCTTTTCTAACCACTGATAGGACAACGGATGGTGGAGTTGTTGATGTTGCTGCTGCTGCAGCTGCTGTCATCGGCACTGTTGGAGTGTCTCGATGAGTAGTTGTTGCAGTCGGTGCTGCAACTGATGTTGTAGTTGATGTTGTAGTCGTAGCTGTAGCTGGTGCTGACGCTGTAGTTGATGCTGATGCTGTAGTTGATGCTGTAGCTGATGCTGTAGCTGGTATTGTTGTCGTCGCTGTCAATGGGTATGCCATTGGTGTTGTAGCTTGAGGAGTTGTTTGTGGTTGTTTTAGCGCTACGGCTGTTGCAGCAGCCATTATTGCCGCCGCTTCTGCTGTTGTTGTTGTTGTTGTCTTCGCTGATGCAGTCGCCGCCTCTGTTGTGGGCGGCGGCGTTGATGGCGACGATGATGATGTTGATGTTGTTTTTTTATTTGCCTTCTTTTCCGATTGAGTTTGCTGCTGTTGTCGGGCCGATTTCTTCATGTTTAAATTCGTTTTTCAAATGCGTAGATGGGTAGTGGTAGTAGTGGTAATCGGTGGTGCTCGGTGTCGGTTTCCGGATGAATGGGGGTTTTCCGGAACAGAATCGTAAACATTTAATAACGGCCGTGGCAGCAACATTGGCTTCCCCTCTTTAGCGGTCATTTTCTTAAAATGAAAGCGATATGGCCTTCCTACCCCCCAAAACACCTTTCCCCTTCACGACGAGTCACACCTCGCTAATGTCCGGCGGACTGTTGGCTCCAGATACAAAACCAATGCAAAACAACACAAAGCAAGCCAAATGTATGGTATGTATGTATGGTCTGTATGGTATTTACAACTTATTTTATACTTAAAGCAAACTATATTAGAAGTTAGGCTATGGGCCACACAACATGTGTGGTACGGCCGTGAAGCAATGCTTCACACATGTGCAGGCTTCGTTTAGTCTAACTGGACTCTTGTCTGGTGCTCAACAGCGCGCAGTTCCCTCATAATGGTCGCCGGGAAGTAGCTCGTCGCCTCCCAGTTTTCCGGGGACAGGAGCATGCACGGCACCAAGTTCTGCTTGACTACGGCCCCACCCAGCGCTTCTTCTAGCCGCTGGCGCAGCGCTGCGAACCTGCCACACGAAAATATTACATGTTCGGCATCCTCCTTTACGTAGTGCCCGCACCAAGAGCATTCTGCGGAGTCCGCATGCCCGAAGCGATGAAGGTAGCTTCGGAAGCAGCCGTGACCACTGAGGAGCTGGGTCAGGTAAAAGTTGACCTGCCCGTGCTTACTTCCGTTTACCCACGCGTCGATGGACGGGATAAGCTGGTGGGTCCAACGCTCCTTAGTGGTCGTGTCCCAGCGCTGTTTGCACGCCATGCGTACCTGCCTTTTCGCAGCCACGTCCATTACTCTGCCATGTGTTTCCTGGTAGTAGGTGGACCGTTCCTCCACTAGGAATTCCAGGGGTGCTATGCCCGCGATCACGTGTGCTGCTTCGTCCGAGACCGTTCGGAAGGCGGTTCGTGGCTGCCAGACCCCGTGCGTAGCTCGCTGTTTGAAGGGCCTTTGCCCAGATTGGCGCCGCATATAGCATCACCGATCTCGTGACACTCGTTAGCAGTTGTCGCCGCCATAGCTTTGGTCCTCGGGTGTTCAGCATTAGCCTCGAGAGCGCACCGTTGGTGGTCGCCGCCTTCGTGCCCATGTAGGCCAAGTGCTCCCGAAAGCAGAGACGTGTGTCCACCAGGACACCAAGGAATTTGCTAGCGCGCTTAGACGAAACCAGGGTACCTGCCACTGAGATGTTGGCC